ATTAATTAATTAATATGATTTGCAAATTGAGAAGTTAAGTGGGTGCCCTGAAGGGGCCCCATTATTTAAATCGGCTTATATAAAGCTTATCGAAGCTTATTACCGTTGATGAGATATATTCAAAATTTCACTAAGTCTCGCGTCTCGACCGTTTCACTGCTTCTACTGTTTTTCTATGACTGTTCTGTCTGACTGCAAGCCGGTAACTGGTTACTGTCTGAACGATAACCGTGCACTCTGACTGCTAGGCGCTAACTGTGATCTTTTCGTTTTACAATTTTTGCAAATGATTTTTGCGTGTTACTGCGCAGGTCCGTCCACGCATTATGGTAGGGGCACGGAGCCAATAGGATTCTGGTATCCTGAGTGGGATAGAACAGCCCCACCTCTTCAATCTGTTTCAGGCGCAGCATGTAAGTGTGAGGGAGATGATTCTCTGTTGTCCTTTTTTATTACATTGCGTATTATCTGTGATTGCTTCCTCGCTGTGGAGTATTTGTTATGGACATTGTTAACAATATTAAGCTCTGTAAAATTATTGTGACAGTGTTTTCTAATTATACACATTATTCTCTCTCATGCGAAATGTCGTTTGTTAAAATCGATACATTTTTAGTGTTTATTTTAACATTGTATTTACTGAATATTCTTTGCTAAATAAATTATTACAATTGATTTGCTGCGTTTTTGCTCTGTTTTCTTGTATTTTCATTCATTTGTACCAATGTTGAACATGATTTTGGGGATCCTAGTAATTCTTTCCCTTCTAATAAACTCTGGAATTCTAAAGATTTAATATAATTTCGGAGACACTTTCCTCGTTGTCGCGGTTTAACCCTGCCCTGGCATTGCACGTTAATTAGACTAATATTTTTAATTGGTTTTTTATTTTTTTTCGGGCTACGCTCGTCCCGGTATTTGTATTTATATTTGTATTTTGTATTTGTGGTTTTCATTAGATGGAATTAACTAACCGTGCCAAGGTGACAAATTCTGTTACGCCCCTCCTACGTCATATCTTGTCTTTTTCCTTCTTTTATGTATTTTCTGAGGCTAAATTACCAAGCTCGCCATTATCACATTCTCTTTATTTTTTCGCATATGTTTATGTTTCAGGTCTTACACATGCCTGAGTGAAATTCATTTATTTCTGATTCTGTTTCTGTGTCAGGTCTTAAACTGCCTGAAATAATATTTATTTATCATAATTGAATTGATTCTGTGTCAGGTCTTAACTGCCTGAAGTAATATTTATTTATTATAATTGAAATGATTCTGTGTCAGGTCTTAATTTGCCTGAAATAATATTTATTTATCATAATTGAATTGGCATTTCTTATAAAGCGTTAGAATTCAAAGTTTCAATCAATGTTTTCGAGATCGTTCCTCGTTATCGCGGACTTAATCCTGCCTCCGCACTACAGGTCAGTTGGTTCATAATCATCAGTATTTGTATTCGTGGGCTCCTTTTTGGTCCCGTAATTATGTGCTTCTGTGGGCTCCTTTCTGGTCCCGTATTTATTTATTTATGTAGTGATTGTATTTAAACCCTCTAACCGCAATGCTAAGATGATAATTTCTGTTCGGGTCTCTTTGACATAATTAATCCTTTTTATTCTTCTGCTTGTTTCTTTCCATGCCATTGGATTATTTTATTAATTTTATTTCGCATTGCTCTGCATATTTATATTGAATTTATATTCATACATCATATTAAATTTGTTCTCTTTATTTCGCATTGAGTAGAATTGGTGTGCTGTATTATTGAATTTAATTTGAATTTAAATTAGTTTCAGATTTTCCTGTCTGATGACGCTGCTATCGCAGCCGACTACCTGATAGCTATCGCTCACTCACTCGCTGTGGAGGGCAGCCATAATACGTGTATTGCAGTTGCAGTGAATAATTTTGACAGGTGTGGTTATGTTGCCCATGGTAGGCGATAGTTTACATTTTCTGTGTTATTTAATAATATTTTCTTGTGTATTTTAAATGTAGTGTTTGACAAAATAATTTATAACATTTGTTTATTTTCCAGGTTCGTATGAGACTTAACGGTGTCAAACAGGAGTAATGCAGTGTTATTGATATATTGGAAGGACATTTCTCTGGGTAATTCATGCTTTTTTCCTCTCGATTAATTAATCTGAATATTTCATCATTTTAATTTATGATGCGCCTGTTTCGTATTACTTAATCATAGCGTATTTTGCGATAATTATTTCCTTACTTTCATTATAATAATTGGTCCATGTTAATTGATTTTGTTGTCCCTCTCAAATTCATACACAATCATTAATTCGTTTATTCATTAATATTTTCTATTTTGCAGGGTTGGTATCAGAGCGTTCCGGTGGAAGGATTAATCTATAAAAAATGTAAGTATTCGAATGTTCTGCGTATCTTGAATATACTTATTCTCTTAGTAATTATTAAAATTATCTTCACGTTTTCGTGTCACCGGTGCATTGGGATGATTCACCCTGATTATTTATTGTCTATTTAAAAGAGGTAGTATTGTTCTCTTATTTTATTCTATCATGTGTGACCTTAATTGTTCGAGGGTGCTGTGAGAATATTTTGAGATATTCAATTTGTGTTATATTAATTCATTTCTTGTTTTTCAGATTTTCAATGCTGGACCACCTTGCTCGGAGAGGGATTGGCAATTATGGAGAATTTTGAAGGATTTGAAGGTGTCATGCTGATACTTGCAGAGGCTGGAACTGGAGGCTATTCTGTGTTTTAATTATCTGGGCTCTGCCCATTTTTCCAATCTCATTTTAATTGATTTTGCAGAAGTGAGAGTGTTAATTGAAGAGTTTTTCGTTGTCAGATAACTTTATCGATTTTTAATTCGTTTTACAGGCCTATTTTTAATTATTCTTATTGAAAATTCATGTTTACAGCTTGAGCTGGTAATAGATTAATTTGTGAGCAGGTTTAAGTGTTTCTTATTTATTTATTTCGATGTTGTAAAATTGCAATTGTATCAAGAATAATATATGAATTTTGTTGAAACGCAATTGTCAAATGTTTGAAATTTATTGAATATCCTGATCATTATATTGTTTCCTTTAAATTTGAAATGGCGTATTTATTTCCCTTTTTGGTTCTTTTCCTGCATGTGTATTTTTCGAAACTAATCTTTATGAAAATGGGCTTCCTAAAATGTTTGATCTGTAATTATTTTTGAAGGGGAATAATCGAGAGCTTTTGGGGATGGGTCACGGCTACGTCTCATAAATCGTTGTTCCAATCATTTTGTTAATGATAACTTCTTATTTAAAAGAAGACACGTATGAATACGTGACATTATTCGACTAGGTGTTCGTGTTCTTCGTAATCAGTCGTTCCTATTATTGGTCCCAATATTCTTGAGATGAACTCAAATATGGGCGCCCTCCGGTGTCTTCTTCTTGGTGCCTCATCATTTCTCAGCAGGACTTTTAGATGTTGGCGGATTTTTTTAGCTTCTTCCTCTAGGGTTTTGACTCTAGCTACCCTTAAGGCGCTTTTACAGCCTTCGTTGTTCTGGGTTAGGTTCGTACGCCCTCCTAGAAGCTGGTTCACTTTATCCCAGTTGGTCTGGTGTGCGTCTACTACGTCTTGGACATCGATGGTGGCTGTCAACTTCCAGGTTGCCGTTGACATCCTGATTGGTTGCATGGGTTCGTAGTAGATTCCTGGGTTGTTGACTAGTGGGGGAATCTCATAACCTGGAGTTGTCCCAATTCCTTGGATGACGTGACATAGCATTCCCAATATGGTGGATAGCATCAATAGGGTATCCATTTTGATTAGTACCTGAAAAGAAGAATAATTTGTTGTCGAACTGCTTATTCAGTTCTCAGTGTTAGTAATTATGAGGCGATTTTAGGGTTCTACAAATTGAAAGAGTATGACAATTATTCGTGACAATTTTTCAATTTGTTTGGATGTTTCTTGCGACTCAATCCATTATCTAGTTCTATCACCACGTTTCCTCGTGGTGTCAAGGCTATTACTTCATAGGGCCCGGTATAATGGGCATTGAGTTTATTAATTCGGGGTTCTTTTTGAACATAGACGAAATCGCCGGCTTTAAATTCTACGAATTTTGCGTTTTATCGTAGTTCTTTTTGGATTTATTCTTTGCATTTATTAGATTTTCTGCAGCCTTAATTTGCGTTGCTTCCAATCTCCCGATAAAATCGATTAAGTAGTCTTCGTACGTTTCTATGCCTTTTGTTTCACTCAGAGCCGTGGGCATGCGGGCGCGTCTACCATATACAAGTTCATAGGGTGTATATTTCGTAGCACTATGAATCATTTTATTATACGAAAACATAGCAAATGGTAATAGAGCATCCCAGTCGTTGTATTCCTTGCAGAAAACTTTTAGGTATTCTACTAGAGAATGATGACTCCGCTCTAAAGAACCATTTGATACTGGTCTGTATCCTGAAGTTGTTACATGGTTAATTTTGAAAATTCTCGCCCAATGATGTAATATTTTACTTTGAAAGTTAGTACCCTGGTCTGTTAGCATGACTTTGGGACACCCGTAAGTTGCTATAAAGTTGTTAGCAATCGCTTCCGCGACAGTAATAGCTCTTTGGTCAGGCATTGGTACGGCGACGCATAATTTTGAAAAGATATCCTGACTGGTAAGGATTACAGTATTACCCGAGGGGGAAGGAGGAAGTGGTCCGACAACGTCGATTGAAATTTTCTCAAACGGTTCCAGTGGGGTGTCCGTTATCTGCATGGGTTGTTTGACTTTTATTCTCCTCAGTTTTTCGATTTGGCTGACATGACATTTCCTGATGTAGTGCTCGATGTCCGATTTCATCCCTGGCCAGTAGAATTCGTTTCTGATGCGGAGGTACGTCATGACAACTCCTTTATGTCCTGCCATGAGTGAATCATGTCCTTCTTTGATTATCTCAGGGATTAGGGTTGTGGATGGAATTTTTATATTGCCTTCGTAGATGATGATTTTGATGTGGGTTCCTTTAAATTCTCTGCCTAGCTCTTTGTCCAATGAAAAATTTCCTTTGGGCTCGTCGTTGTTACCGGCTACTCAAAATGTGTCTACTTGGTGTGTTTTCAATGCATAGTGAAGGTTACGTAAACACGTCCTCAAGTCAAACCGTCGTACTTGATCATAAAAATTGTTTTTTACGATGACGAGGAATAACTTACGGTTGCTATTTTTAATGTTCATAACCCTTCCGATATTCGGGTTATTTTCCAAGATTTTCTTTGGATCAAAATAATGCAGGTCGACAAGCAGTTTCGAGGACACACTGATTATTTCGCAGTCAGCTGCTAAAAAATGAACAATGTGGTCGTTCTCATAGGTTAGCCCATCTCGGCTGCGTATGATGTTTTCTTGAAAATTCAATTCATCATCCTGTGGAATGATTGATTAAAAGGTGTATAATTTCAGCTCATCATCCTCTGGGATGTCTTCATCCTCGGATTCCGAGTTGTGTTCTTTGGGCGGTGCATCAATTTCATTATCCTTGATTTCTGTGAGCCGCTTTTGTTCAATTATGAACTCTGGGTTAAGCAGGTTTTCGCTTTCTCGAATGCGTTTCCGACGGTATCTCTTCGAGTTGATGGAGTTTTCCAGTCGAACGTTATTATTTCCTTCATGTGTCACGTATTCATACGTGTCTTCTTTTAATTAAGAAGTTATCATTAACAAAAATGATTATAACAATGATTTATGAGGCGTAGCCATGGTGCATCCCCGAAGACTCCCGATTATTCCTCATCAAAATAATTACAGATCAAATATTTTAGGACACCCATTTTCATCAAAATTAAGTTGGAAAACAAACATCTAGGAAAAGAACCAAAAACGGGAAATAAATACGTCATTTCAGAACTTAAAAGAACAATACATATTCATCAGGATATTTGATAAATTCCAAACACTTGACGATTGAGTTTCAACATACTTCATATTTTATTCTTGATACAATCAGAATTTTACAACATGGAAATAAATAAATTAAAAACAATTAAATCGGCTCAAAAATTAATCTATTACCAGCTCAAGCTGCAAACATGAATTTTCGATAACAATAATTAAGGATAGAGCAGTAAAACATATTCAAAATGGATAAAGTTATCGGACAACGGAAAAACTATTCCATTAACACTGTCACTTCTACAACGTAATTAAAATGCGATTGAAAACATGGGCAGGGCCCAGATAATTAAAACACAGAAAAGCCTCCAGTCCCAGTCTCTGCAAATATCAGCATGACACCTTCAAATTCTTCAAAATCCTCCGATAATTGCCAATTCCTCTCCCCGCAAGTTGGCCCACCATTGAAAATCTGAAAAACAAGAAATTAATCAATATAGCATAAATTAAACACCTCACAATATTTTCACAGAACCCTCGAATTTTAAATATGTCAAATGCGACAAAATTCTTACACGAAGATAATAATTAAATATACGCAAGGTAGCAACATTATCCCTCTTAAAATAGATAATAAATAATCAGGGTAAATCATCCCAATGTACCGGCGACACGGAGATGCGAATTTAATTTTAATAATTACTAAAAGACTAATTATATCCAATATATGAGGAAAAAACACTTGAATACTTACATTTTTATAGATTAATCCTTCCACTGCAATGCTCCAATACCAACTCTGCAAGAAAAGAAAAATAGTAATAAAGAAACGAATTAATCATTATATATGAATTTGAGAGGGACAGAAATTAATGAACATGGACCAATTATTATAATAAAAATAAGGAAATAATAGTCGCACAATACGCTATTATTAAGCAATAGGAAAAAGGCGCATCATAAATTAAATAGATGAAATATTCAAACTAATTAATAGAAAGAAAGAAAGCGTGAATTACCACGAGAAATGTCCTTCCAATATGTCATTAACACTGCATTACTCCTGTTTCACAGCGTTCAATCCCATACGAATCTGGAAAATAAACAAATGTTATAAACTAGTTTGTCAAACACTACATATAAAATACAGAAGAAAATAATATTGAATCACACAGAAAATGTAAACATTAGCCTACCATGGGCAACATAACCACACCTGTCAAATTCATTCACTGCAACTGCAATACACATATTATGGCTACCCCCCATAGCGAGTGAGCGAGCGACAGCTTTCATGTAGTCAGCTGCGATAGCAGCGTTATCAGACAGGAAAATCTGTAACTAATTTAAATTCAAATTTAATAATACAACACACCAATTTTACTCAATGCAAAATACCGAGAACAAATTGAATATGATGTGTAAACACAAAATCAATATAGATATGCAGTACAATGCGAAATAAAATTAATAAAATAATCCAATGGCATGGAAAGGAACAAACGGAAGAATAAAAAGGATTAATTATGTCAAAGAGACCCGAACAGAAATTATCACCTTAGCATTGCGGTTAGAGGGCTTAAATACAATCACTACATAAATAAATAATTACGGGACCAGAAAGGAGCCCACAGAAGCATATAATTACGGGACCAAAAAGGAGCCTACGAATACAAATACTGATGATTATGAACCAACTGACCTGTAATGTGAAGGCAGGATTAAATCCGCAATAACGAGGAACGATCTCAAAAACATTTATTGAAACTTTGAATTCTAACGCTTCATCAGAAATGCGCATTAAATTATATTAAATAAGCATTATTTCAGGCAAGTTTTTTAAGACCTGACACAAAAACAGAATCGGAAACAAATAAATTTTACTCAGGTATGTCTAAGACCTGAAACATAAACATATGCGAAAAGGAGAATGTGATAATGGCGAGTTTGGTAATTTAGCCTCAGAAAATAAATAAAAGAATGTAGAAGAAAAGATATAGCGTAGGAGGGGCGTAACAGAATTTGTCACCTTGGCACGGTTAGTTAATTCCGTCTAATGAAAACCACAAATACAAAATACAAATATAAATACAAATACCGGGACGAGCGTAGCCCGAAAAAAAGCAAT